GCTTTAGATTCGTGCACCCTCTTCGCTTTCTCACTTGTCGAAGATTGGCACGTCCTTTGCATCATGGCAACAAAATATGGAAGGGAGTTGGTGGCTTATAGGAACAGATTTGCTGGCCACGCAATGGGGCGAAAATGCCCAAACAAATACGGGTCTACAGCACGGGGCACCCATCACTATGAGTTTTTAAATCTCAAACATGAGGCACGCCATACATGTTATCCACGAAAGGATCCGTTGTTATCAAATCCCGGCTCACAATGTCCAACCGACGGCAAGTTTAAATTCAGCCGGGCTTTGCTTCAAGGCACGGTGATTCACAGGGGCACCACTCGACGCCTGTGATGCGCAAGTGTGGAGGATTGATCGGAAGCAGGAAGTGGCCTTCGCACGTGCGCGTGCCAACTCTGTCCCACTTGAAATTTGGATCAGCCATGGTTGCGAATATGTTCCCCAACATTGAAGCAACATGCATGTAGACCGACAACATTGGGGGTCTCCTGTATATAACTCACCAACTCACCTAGATTGTGGCCAAGTCTAGCCTACAATGTCTTGCTTTGGTGTAATGATGTGGCCGTGCAGTCAGGCAACGGTGTGATTCATGCTCCCTGTGTATTAATGTTATACATAGAAGCCCTGCTGACAGCGTAGTGGCATCAACCCGTATGGGAAAAAGTTCTGCGGCCCTGAGGCCACAGTATGAGATCCATGTTCTTTCACTTTGATGATTTCAAATCATTGGCGTTGGCCCACTTGCATGTCTCCCGGATTCGCGTGGCCAACTGCACTTCGTTCGGCCGGCAAACCTTTTGGCGGAGTGAAGGTGCAATGTTGTTATATCAGTGTATATCACCACCCTTCAACTAGTTTACATTTATCCGTGGGCCCATGGGTTCTGTAAATTCGTATGGTAGAGGGCAGAGCTTGAAACTTGCAATCTTCAAAGCCAAAACGCGACCAATGAATCAGGAAACAAAACGGGTCAGCTATCATGCCACCAAAACCGCCAAATATCACAAATAGTCCAAATAGCTAGCATATTGCTGCAGTGATCCAACATGACCCAACCACCATGCCCAAAACCCACCACAGCCCCCACACCAGCCTGACATGCGCGCAAACTAGCATTACTGCGCCGCCTCACCAGGCCACCGTGCCCTACTTGCAATTCACCACACCACCATACCGTAGACCGCATACTGTACCTCGAGCTCAAAACCAAAACCACCGTGCCCACATACCGCACCACTGTATTACATGTGTTTTTCCTGTTGTCTACTTTTCAGTAACTTACCGCCACTTAAGCTATCTAAGGTCTACTTATGATCTACTTAGCGCCTATTTAAAAAACCTTATTAATGATTAGAAATAAGTAGGTTGTAAGTAACTTATAAGTAGGAATAAGTAGAACAGCCTTGAAACGAGGTGCTTTTGATATATTAGGCATGGTAGCTAAAATAGCATGCTTTTCAAGTTTATTTTGAACATTTTTGTTGTAAGAAAGTTATTGTTTTTGATTTTTCTTCAAATTTGATTGCGAAACATGCGTTTTTTGGTAAACAAGAGCGGACACACCGCTGCAACATCAACTAGCAACAGTAAACAAGGGCGGACACACCGCTGCAACATCAACTAGCCACAGCGGTCACACCGCTGTCTGCCTGGGTTGGGCAGACATTCTGGACCAGAAAGCACCGTTGAGGCTATACGTGTTTGTCAAGCCTTTGAGACCAGATTCCCCTGGGTGGCAAAATGATTGAAAATGAATTTTCGCCCTGCGCTGTGCTTTGGTTCTGCGAGCCCCTGATAGATACCCAAAAGTATCCATGTATAATGGTGTGCATCGTTATGGATACTTATAGATACCCGTAGATACCCAGAACCAAGTTATCCAGATTTTCATGGGTTTGTATAGATGCCTGTACATACCTATAGATTCCCGGATACCTTTTGGGCTGTAAAACGTATAGATACGGTATAGATACCCTATAGATATCCGATAGATACCCGTGAGATACGCGGGAAAATGATTCCCCAAAGAGTTTGCACCACGACACCACGACAACGAAAAACGGCAAACATGCATCATGAATCAAGATGCACCTCTTTTTTTTCTCCTTGGGATCCCAGCGGACACACCGCTTACAAAGAAACATGCAGCGGACACATCGCTTCCAAAAATCAAAGCACGCACGCCGCTCAAGAAGTTCACCCAAGCAAAGTTTTTAGCGGGGACCATTTTTAGCATTCAACAACCATGTTACAAAGCGGCCGCGCCGCTAGCAAGACCATGGCAACTGAAAAAAATACATTGAAAAAGCAAAAAATACGAATAAACATATGGATTTACAAAAATACAAGTTTCAAACACATACATAAAGTAGCAAAAATGTCAAAAAATACATAAAAAAAACAAGAAGAAAAGTAAAATAACAATAGACAGCATAGTTTTATCATAAGTAGGTTAAGTAGAAACAAGTAACAAGTATATAGAACGTAAGTAGAACTAAGTAGATGCAAGTATACTTAGCCTACTTGCATGGATATGTTACTTAATTGTTTTCTTTCCACTTATGTCTAGTTAGCAAGTAAACCAACTTTCTTATAAGTAACTTCAAGCAACTTGTAAGTAAGTCAAAAAAAATCTACTTAAGTTACTTATTTCTACTTATAGCCTTACTTAACCTGGTTAAAACTATGTTATATCTACTGATAAGATCTTAAAAGTAGGTTACAAATAAACAAGTAGAAAGGGACCATTAAGACGATTAAGATACCGTACCTCAAAACCACCGCGCCGCCGTATCGCACCTCATACCGCACCACGTACCGTACCACGTACCGCACCACCGTACCGTACCACCGTACCGTACCACCGCACCACCGTACCGTACCACGTACCGCGCCACCGTACCATACCACCGCGCCTACTTTGGAGAGTGCTGTTTCACAGCACTTTTGGAAAAACATAAGATAGAGCTGGCATTTGAACAGTTAAAGATTGTCGACAACTTGCTGCGGCTTTGCTGGAGAAATGGGCGCCAATATGCGCCAATCAATTTGAGGACTGCAAAGCAAGCGTGGTGGAAGGATGGACAGAGGCGCCGGCGATGCATTTGTCATGTTGTGAACGTGTTGTGAACGATGCGCAGAGGATCGCAGAGGTGCATTGTGCAAATCCCAGATGGTGCTCCGATAGGAACGAGTCCTTGCGCTATACCCATTGCTGCAGAGAAGCCACGAGGACGTGGGATGGCTACCTGGGATCTGGCCCAACGGCCCAACATGTTGCCTCGAATTTCAGGAGCAGCCTTGGTGTGCCGTAGAGGCAGGCAGGGTGGCAGAGGTCATTGAAAATCAAAGTAGAGTACAATAGAAATAGTATGTAACTATAATATTTATAGTGTGGTAGGATAGTACAAGAGGGCAATTAGTGGCAGTATAGTTACAATAGTACATATCGCATACTATGTACGTGCATCTCTACTGTACATGTTTTGGATGTTTTTTTTGGGTAGTTGTTCTTGTGAAGATTTTGAGATGGTGAAAGATTTTGACCAAGTCCCGGCTGCCTTCCAGGTTCAGGAGCCTTTGAAACCCTCCGAGGCAGAAGTCCAGGCCTCGACCCTGGGGTAATTTAAGATAGCTATTGAACATCACCGTGTTTATAAGACGTGTATTAACTAGAGTACATAAACATGGCCACTTTCAATAGCTATGTGAAATTACCTGAGGGTGCCAATCTTTTTGATCTTTAGATATTTATGTCATGAAGACGAAGACCACCAGGAAAATATTGGGTAACAGTGAGACTTCCATGTCCAGGCCAACACCCGAGCCCGATCAGCTCGGGCGTTAGTCTTGGAGAAGCGGACTCGGAGAGTTTTAAGCGCCGGCAAAAAGGTGTTTGGCTGATACAGCTTTGGCAAATGGCTCGCTGTATATGACATTGAGTTGAGTCACTGCGGTTTTGTGGAGGTCACTGAAAAAAATTGGGTTAGGGCCGGTTAGGGTTGTCAGTTCAACTCGTGGGCTCCATGTGATGATGTTGCACTGAAGCTTTGGTTCGTGTCCTGACACCATTCAGCTCAGAGAGGGGGATGTCCAATCTTCCTAGTGCTTGGCTACGGCCTCCAGCTTTGATCTCAGATGGTAGTTCTATTCTTACAAATATAAAGGGGGGAAAAAAGATCAGCGGTGGATCGGGTTCTTCAACGGCTTCTTCCTTCACTGTGTCTTGGTTGTTTGCTGCCTTTCTTGACTCACTGTTTTGCAGCCCTGTGGGCTGCACGGATGTGCTCAACAGTGAAACATAGTGAAACTCATGATATCAAACTGATCAAACTTATCAAACCATTCATTTCCTCACAGATGGTAAGTTCGCTGATGGCACCCTATTGATCCTATTGAGGTGCTGATGGCACCTCGCCGAAGATTGGCAGCATCTTGGCAATTGATGCAGGGCGGCGGCCTGTGCCGACTCAAGACAGGGTTTAGGAAATGATGATTTGGGCTTTGATCATGTTTGATCATGTTTGATCATGTTTGATCATGTTTGATCATGTTTGATCATGTTTGATCATGTTTGATCATGTTTGATCATGTTTGATCATGTTTGATCCACTTTTGGAGTCTGGAGGTCCTGCACATGTTGTAGTTCAGATACCATCTTGAGTGAAATGGTTGAAACTGATGAACACTTTCAAGGCTCAAAAGCATCCTGTTTCCATTGCAAAACATATTGTTTCTTTCAAAATCCTTTTTTCACCCAAAACGAAATAGAAGCGGGGGAGTGCACGATCCCTTGAAAACGGAATATTTGGACTTCTAAAAAAGAGTTGTATAAATGTATGTAATGTATAAACCACTCACTTAGTTCCCAAGATGAGAGAGTTTACATTGGCATCATTTGGATCTGTCGATCACTGTAGCCCAAAACATCACCATGGATTGAGGGAATTGATCGCCCCACGCCGCGCCTCCACTGAGGCCCTAGTGGCATGCCTTGCGGTGGTGCCGCTGTGCTTTGTACCGTCTTTGCCGAAGAGGTGGAACTCAACCTCGCGGCTTTACAGGCGCTTGGCTCATTGGATCATTATGACGGGCGACTGGAGGTACCAGGAATGCCATTTGGCAATTGATTTCTTATGCCTTGGCCAACTATGTGGACTTTTGGATCTTTTGGATCTTTTGGATCCGGCTCAGGCGGGCTGAACCAGAAGGCCAAGCCTCCGACATTCCTGGTGATGCCGGAGCGGAGACTGATAGGCAGGGTCTTGCTGGATGACAAAGACAGAAAGCAGTAACAAAAAACCACTTGAGGCGACATACTGTATCTAAATCGATTTGGAATCATTGAATCATTGTATTCATCCTGCAAGTTTTGGAGCTATTTGTCTATTTCTATTTCTCATTATTTATCATTATTTATCATTATTTATCATTATTTATCATTATTTGTCATTATTTATCATTATTTATCATTATTTATCAATCATTGATAATTATCATTAGAATTATGAATCTATCTATTGATTTATCTGTTTATCTATTTATTTTGACGATGATGTTGATGACGATGACGATGACGACGACCATGGTCCGCCTGGGCTTCAGGGCCTGGTGGAATGATCCCAGCACAGCCTCATTGGTGGAGAAGTTGCAGGTGGAAAAGCTGAGCGCGGAAGTCTGGGTACAGATCTTGCCACACAGTTGTGCCACTCATGCAGATTGTCTTCATATAATGTACTGTATATATACATATATACTATATACATATATATATATATACATATGTTTATAGCTGTCCATGAATAGAATTCTATAGATCTACATGGTGCCTCAATCCTTAAACCAATGATTCACGTCTTACAAGCATGACTTTGCATAACCCATCGATTCAAATGCCATGCGAGGTAGAAGAAACCACAGATGCCTTGACCAAATTAAGGAGGCCTTGGGCTTCCATGGTTTCCAGATGGGATCCTCGAGGGTATCCAGCAAACGTCATGAGGGCGAATTCATCAGATGAAATTGGATTTCAACACCAAAGCCGTGCAAAGTCGTGGGGAGGCACGATTCCCCCTTCATTTGACTTGACACCAATCACCTATTACCTCTATATATATATTTACACATCCCACAATAATCTGAAGTTGAAGTTATAGAACTTTGCTGAACATTTAGAATCTAGATCATACCATCATCATACCATCATCATCCCAGATGCACATAATATTTTGTATTTCGCTATTTCCGGTACATTCCCCAATCATATCCCATATTGATTGAACCCACTATCGTACACCGAGTCATTTGGATCTCCGCCAGGCAAATGACCCTAGAGGAGCAAGCCTTCGACCAAGAAATCGAGGATGCGGGGCTCCCCGGGGCTTCCCGATGAAGTCATGGATGGCGTAGCGGCGTAGTGAGTTGGTGGCGAATCTGGGTAGAGATGGATGCTGTATTCAGGCATATTCAAATCCCAAATGAAAAGACTAGCAAACATTGGGATAGTTGCCAGCAATTATGGGTATGGGTCAAAGGCATATTGTGCCCTGCAAAAATTAGAAGATGGAGCACCACGTTTTCCCAACATCCTAACATCCTAACAACCTGACACCCAAGAGGTCAAGTGGAATGAAGTAAATGAAACCATTTTGGCAGAATATTGATTCCCACTTTCTGATACTTTCTGGTAGATTTCTGGAGTTCAGCTGCAAGCCTTTCCCGCCAAGGTGGTGATTGCAGGCAAAAGAGCTTTGCTGAAGCGAGGAGCATAGAGAGCATAGAACCGAAAAACAGATGGGCTCATCTCAGCACAGATCTAGAGTAGCAGCTAGACCAGAGCCAGCAAAAGAGAATCCATGACAAAGGGAATTATCAAACTTCAAAGCACAAGATGAGTCAAAGATCCCCCATGATCCCCCCTTGCAAGGCTCCGAATGCAGCGAGCTGTAGAAATGCCTGGGCTCGGCTGACCTGTCTTCATGCATCGTGTCGAGCTGCGAAGCTGCGATGCCGCTGATGTCAGTTCCTGGCCAGGATGAAGACCCACATGTTCAAAAAGATCAGAAAGCAGATTGCCAGGGCTTTGTCTTTGAGGCCATGGATGGCCACGGTATCCATATGTATCCATGGTATATCACCTGCCTGGGCATTCCTGGGTGAAGCTAGCTTTGGATTGTTGTTTTTGCTTAACATTTAGGCAACCATGAGGATATCATCTGTATATACGTATATGTATATGTATCTGGATATGTATATGCATATGTATTTGTATGTGCATATGTATATATCATACTATATTATATTATGTTATGTTATGTTATATTCTATTCTATTCTATTCTATTATATTATATTATATTATATCATATCATATCATATTATATTATATTATATTATATTATCTTATATTATATTATATTATATTATATTACAGTATATGAGATGACATCATATTATATATGAAGATACGAGATCATATGAAATTATATTGTATTTTATAGCATGAGATGATATGATATTATTTGACATATTATATGTTGCATTATACTATAGTATAGTATATGATGTGATATGATATGATATTATATGAGCTGATATGATATTATACTATTATACTAAACAAGATGATATGATATTATCTAAATTATATTGTTTATATGATATGATATGATATGATATGATATGATATTTTGTTGTATGAGATGATATTATATTACATTGTACTATATAATAATATATTATATTATATTACATTATATTATATAATAATATATTATATTATATTTTATGATATTATGTTATATTATATTATATTATACTATATTACATTATATTCTATTATATTATATTACATTACATTATATTATGGTATATTATATTATATCATATTATATTATATTATATTGTATTATATTACATTATTTTTTTCATATATTATATTATATTAGATGATATTATATTATATTATATTACAGTATATGAGATGACATCATATTATATATTAAGATACGAGATCATATGATATTATATTATATTATATAGTATGAGATGATATTATATTGACATATTATATATTACATTATAGTATAGTATAGTATATTAAATTAAATTATATCTGTAAAAATATATGTATATAACCATTGTGTAACCACGATATTTATCCATCAAGCATCATCTATCGTCTCTCCCTCTATGTACCTATGAAATATTTCCCCCGCCATGCGCGAGGCGCCAGCGCGAGATCGCGCGGGGCATCACCCAAGAGCAGAGCCGACGAATGCGACGGCGCAAGCGCTTGGAGCTGAAGGTGAAGTACGAGGAGCTGAAATTGAGTGAAGTTACCCAAGTTGACATTTTCTAATGGTTTCTGAATGTAGGACTCCAGGATACCGGGAAACACTCATTTGAAGTGTCTAAATGTACCATTTCCTACTGCTTAGCAGGGAATGGAAGAATTAATCATGATTAATGATTACAGATGATTGATGATCATAGATTATTTTGGGATCATTATGTGCTGGTGAAATAGCATTCTTGATTGGTTATGTGGGGGTTTGTAACCTACCGAATAGAAATCAGGAAACGGTTCTTAGCCAACGGTTATGTGGGATGGGATATCACAGTCTGCGAATTGCACTAATCGCATAGATAGCCCATGTGGTTCGATGGTGATTCTCCTTCGGCCTGTTAAATCTACATAAATCATCAGAGGGTTTGCTGCTGAAGTGATGTCGATCCAATGGAGGTGGATTGGATGAACTGACCCCCCAAAAAGACTCTTGCCGCGGGGGGTCTAGAGCCACTCCAGTTGGGAGGTTTTGGAACCTAGTCATTTAATAATCTTGTGAGGTGGACAACAGATAGGAAACCAGAGCCCTCCTTGCTTTACATTCTTCCGCAAGCAGGGCAACCCCTGCCATGAGCATCTTGGAGCTACCCCGCCATGAGCATCTGCCCAGTGCAGGATGCTTATGGTGGTGAGCGCAAAGGTCCAAAGTGATCGGCTCAACGAACCCGTGGTTCCAAGTTTTTTTTGGGCCAGAAAAGCATTTGAGAATAATTTTTCAATGGATATTTTCTAGATTTGCCCATAGTTTCGCCCAGTTTTCCAACGTTGCAATGATGTGAAGCTCCTGAGGTCCCGGCGCTGGCTTCGCCGCATGGGCAGAATTGCTGGGGGGCCCAGCTGAGAGGATCGGAGACCTTTAAGGCTCCCCAGTTCGAACTTGGTTTATCAGCCCCATTCAGTGTAGATATGTATACAGTATATGTATATATATATATATATTCTATGATTTATATATTATATATGTATCATATCTAAATTATTTGAACTAAATGTATCTAAGAAATTCAAGTTCTAGCTCTTTTACAGATACCGGAAATCCTTGTCATGTCAGTTATAGACCAGCTTAGCTAAACATGGGGCACCACCTTGGGACCTGATGTGGCTGAGGTCTGATGTGGCTGAGGTGATGCTGCGTGCTGCGCGGCAGAGGCAGTCAGCATCTATATAGTCTACACATTGTGAACACATATCGATCTTTCTGTATGTATATGTATAGATATACTATATGATATACTATATATGATACTATTTGTATATTGTAAAGAGGAACATGAATGAGTGACTGTCTTAAGCCCGCCTGGTCTGTCACCGTGGTTGTCCTGGGGAGAAAAACCTGTCTCCACTGAGTTCAAGGAGTGACGCGTGACACTTCGCTGTGAAAAAAGCGCGGTGGAAACGTGGTCTGCCGCCACGTCACTTCGAACCGGCAAATCGTAGGTCAAAAATCTCTGGCCAATTGATGAATGACAAATAATGTAGCGCACTGCGACCGAAACGTGCGTCAAGGCCTTCGTTGCTAAGGAGATTTCCCTAGTCATAGTCTGCGAGGCACACGTAAAAGGTTCGCACGATTTCGCACAGACACGTGGCAAAGTCTCGCACGGACATGGCAACGCAATGGTGACCCAAATCTTGGTAACCGGGCAGCTTCAAAAGGCGCAGAGACCTCACAACTGACTAGGAATCAGATTATATAGAATGTAGACACAACAAACACAACCATGCAGGAATCAGAAGGCAATCAACCTTGTTTCAAGCCGCTTCAAGTGTCTCTACCGGTAAGCGGTATGTCAACGAGATTGAGACATGTACAGAGACTCATGGAGAAACAAAGCTTTAGCTGAAAGGAGCCACTGCGTGACCGAACAAACGAAGGGAACGACTTGTTTGTTAGCCTTAAAGGTCATTCAGGACAGGAAAGAGTGGGAGAAGAAAAGGTTTGGAAACCAACTCAAAGATGTATACTTGAACAGATTTGCAAGCGCTTTGCAGTGGTTCTGGATGTGCGCAAGATCCTGCCGTGTGCGGCATATCCAATCCTTTATGGAAGAAAGGCATTACGGCCGTATGGCCGTATGGCGACATCGCTGTAGGCGTACTCAGTACTCGTACTCTAGCGGAAGCAACAAACGGCGTTGTGCTCATTGGGGGCCCATTGATTTGTCGATCTTTGTGGAACCTTGGTGGAGTAGTTCAGAGGGTTTATATTCCGAACAAGATAAGATGTCAGAATAGATGCCAATTAGAATAAATGCCAATTAGAATGTCAGTATACATTACATGCCATATATACTTCCAGATGGTGTGTCAGAAACGATGTCAGAATAGTGCGTCAGGATGGGGATCACTCGAAGAAAGTGATTCCTCCACAATCCCTTTTATATGTCCCACGCTTGTTTTCCCTTCTGTCCAAAATTCTCAGTAGTGTATCCTCCAATCAGTTGTGTTCTGCGTGTAGATAGATATACATATATATGTATATAGATGTATGTGTGTGTATATATATACATATGTATATATATATATATAGTTAGTCAGATGATATTTCCCCCCTGTGGTTCCATGATTGCTTTTCCCCTCCCGATGTGAAAGGTCGTATCCCCCCACAACCTTCCTTTTTGTGATATTCCCCCTGACCCCTATGATGATTTCACCTTCCGACCCTAAGGTACGTTCCATGCAAGATAGTGTCGTATGCCCCAGCGTTCTGCTTCTTAATTCCATGCTTGGTCTTTCTCCTAAGGTCGTGCAAAGGGCGCTAATTGTCGTCCATTTGGGGTGCAAGTGATTTTTTTGCTCAGAGGGCGCAGATGACCCGTGACCCTAAACACGGCAGCAACATAACCAACGCATGTTCGCTCTCCACAACCACCGATACCTTTAAGTAAGATGGAAGACTTGGCGAAAAGCATAAAATCAGGCAACATTAATCAAACACAGCTGCAACATAGCAGTCTGAACAGACATTTCCCATGTTTATCCGCAGCCAGCAAAATCATCTAACATCAACAGTACATAATCGGCAAATCACAGACTGCGATACCTTCAAACAAACCGTAACATGTGAGAAAGGTAATGAAAGGTATCAAAGGAGATGGAATTCATTGAGAAAAGCAGCAACATCCCTGTTGCGGCAGGCCCGTTGTCCATCCAGACCACCTGAAGCCGCACGACTTGGGGTATCAACAAGGTGGCTAGCAATCACACCAGCTGCTGCACCACCAACACCACGAAAATCAAGAATTGCACATATTGCGACAACTTCAAGACGCAAAACTGGGGCAAGGAATCGAACACACCGGAGTTCACTAACACAGCAACTACATAGCAGTCCCGACACATTTAATTCAGCCAGAACCACGAGAATCAAGATATGATTGTCGATCGAAAGGGCCATGAAGAGATTTTCCAACACAAAGGCCGCCAGGGTCCCAACATGAGACCACGCGAAAGCTTTTTTTTTCGGAATTGCGAAAGTTTTTTTTTGCGAAAGATTTAGCGAAAGATTTCAACATGAGACCCCCGGGAAAGATAAACATGGTTAACGTTGGGTTTGCAAAAGATTCGCAAAAGCAAATTGTTTATTCGCAAAGAATGGCTGGTTGCAGACGAAGGATTTGGATGAACCGCAACATACATATTGCAGTGCCTTCAATTCAAGCTGCAAATTTCGGCGGATGCAAAAGGGAAGACAGAATTGCGTACACCCACCAGCAAGAGAGCATCCGGACCACTACTTCCCCACCTAAACATTTTCAAGATGAAGGGCAGTCGGCACATAGCACGACTTTGTGAAATTATTGCGAGAGAAAGCAATCCACACAGAAGCAACATAGGTGCCCAACACACGAAAAATTAAGTCACAGAGCTGCAACGCAAAGGTTAAGCACACGCTCGTTGTCCAAGACCACCAAAAACAAAAGTATTCAAGACCTGCCATTTCTGCGTGCGATATAATTCTACGATAATTTTACGCCACAGGACTTGCCTAGTAGAACCAAATCGAACCAATACAGGCCCTCACCGGCTACATCATCGCGTGTAGACACAACATCAACATCGTGTAAGCCGCATTCGAAACGCCAAGGGGATCGCCACTCAAGTCAGAAAATTTTTGAAAACATTGGAGCAGAAAATCAACACGTAGCGTGAACTGTTGCAACAATTACATCTTCTCCAGATCCATGTCATAGCATTGTTTGATGGGTGCCGTGCCGAGAAAAGATAGGATGCAAAACCTATAAACGCGCAATGCCAAGCGCAGACCCAAAACGAACAGAAGAGGAGGCTTATGAGGATCTTTGGTAGAATTTGCAGCGGCCAATTGGAAACTAACCCAGAATGGCCTTCAAATCTTTGAACTTGGTCAATAATGAAGAGGGAAACAAACATCATTGGTGTCGCGCGAGGCATGTTGCTAACCGGACTCTGCAGCACAACTTATGCACGAAACTCTCACATGGAACCCCGCAGTGTGCAAAAGACGACACACACACAAGATAGTGGGAAATGCAGCACGGAATCCAAGTCACATGTTTAGGCAACATCTCTAGGTAACATCTCTTCTGCTAGGTATCATCCGCTCTAGGTCACATCTCTAGACTCTAGCTAACATCACTAGGTAACATCTCCAAGAAAATCTCTTGCATTGTAGCATCTCTAGGTAACATTTCTAGGTAGACAAATGAAACATCAGGGTACCCCATGTTCAGGTAAATCCACTGGATTTTGCAGTCTGTTGGAGACGTAGAAGGTGAGGTCTTCGTTCTTCGGCAATGGGGAAATCCAAACTGGTGTCAAATCATATCCCATTGAAATCCGATGAAATTCATTCAACCAATGATCAACTGGTGATTTAGGGGTTGGTGGTTTGTTCCATTTTGTTCCCTTTCAGAGATGCCGGGAATATCAGGAATCCAAATCACCCAAACCGCGAGGCAACCATGGGTTGATTCCGGGTGATTGGGATTGGCACACAATGTACAGTCACATTATAATAATTCTCACAAAGATCCGAACAGAAACTGGCTAGCGGCTAGCAACCGGTATTGTGCCACAGAAATCGGGGATGCAGCAGACACCCCCATGTGCCTTCCTTTGAGTCATTTTTTACTGTGCAGCCCCGCGCAAGACAAACTTGTTGTGATATTCCGACCTGCTTCGATTAGATATTTCATGTGATTCCCTATTTCTTTATTCAGATGTCTTATACATCCTGATCTGATAGTTCACCGAGTTGCTTTGTTCACAGCCATACTTCAAAGGAACGACTTGCATAGTAGCAGAGGAAAGTTGATTTGTTGCACATGATTTCGGGAAGCCGCTTGAATACACATTTTTCATCATTTTCCCAAAGAGTCAGCAGTGTCATGCTCCAAAACCGCGAGCAGCTGGCAGAACTGCCAGTAGAAAAGTTGCAGAGGACGTAGATTCTGGCCTCTTCAAGGACGTAGAAAAAAATGTGTCAAACAATTTCTTGCTGCAGGATTGTGGCACCCCGTATTTAAATATCATTCCCTGTCCAAGTAGCACTTCAAATTCTAGATAACACTTTGTGGATCCAAGAGGTAACATATTGTGCCTAAACAACATTGTGCTATATTGTGCTTAAGTGGCGTCTTTTGCCTAAGCGACATTTTGCGCTTTAGCAACATCTTGTGCCTAAGTAACAACTTGTGCTTAAGTAACATTTTTTGCCCAAGTAACATCTTGTGCATGTTGTGCGTAAATAGCATCTTGTGCTTAAGTAACATCTTGTACTTAAGAAAAAACATTTGATATTTCGCGCTTAAGTAACACCATGTGCCCCCCAAAAAAATCGGTGTCCAAGTAGCAAGCAAACCTTCTTTTGTTTCTGCCTAAGGAGCACTCACCTGACTTTTTGTGCATAAAATCAGTTCAGGCTCAAAAAAACTACTCCAGCCCTTGTTGGCGGCTCCGATCTTATTAAAACGCGCGAAATTCACGGAGCAAAACGCAATTGAATTACGAGTTTTTTTCCTTTTTTCCCACTGTGAGGGGGGGGGTGGGGGGGGTGGGGTTGCCCTGCGTCTTGTCCGGACATTTTCTCCCCCAGATGCAGACATGCGGAAAACTTTGGGGCCTGGGACACC